AGAAATGATAAAAATAAAACCGATGTCTTCAGTTTTATAGTCAAATCATGATTTAATGCAAAAATCCAGATAATAGGAAACGATAGCAACATTACATTTAGAGAAGCGAAACATATGCTTAGTTAATAAGGATCTCTTCTGTCATGTCTTGGTCTGAAGGAGGAATATTTGTTAAAAATCCAGCTTACTTGTTTTAAAATGATGCAAATTTAATCATTCAAAAAGGAACATCAAATACAAGTTCTGTATTTTATTTTATTTATAAATTTTCTGTCTTTCATGCCTGGAAAATAAAAACCTTAAGCAATAGAAGAGAACTGGCAATTGACAATTGAAGAGGAAAGAAAAACGATGCCACTATCATCAGTCTAGAGTAGCCATGTAGATTACGATGACAGGCCAGACTGCCTCAGCCAGGCCAGCTGAGCCAGCGGAAACTGAGGTCAGTGGTTATTAATCATTTGTCAAAGACTGTAAGGCTTTATCAGATACTTACAGTTATAAGTATGTTTATGTTACACAAATATGTGGCAAAACTGCAAAGGAGTCAGGCCCTAACACAATCCGCAATGACATTTTAAAAAACTACGGATAAGCGATAAATCATAAAGCAAACACTTTAGAAAATCATGCCATTTATTATTCCTTGGGCATTCTAGAATTCTTTTCTATGTTATTTATTTCTATGAACATTAAGAACCTTACAAAGCCTTTAGCTACATTCCTTCTTCCCCCTGATTTTCCAATGAGTTGTAAAAATAGCGAGGATCATCAACATTTGAAATGAATGACTGGCAACTGACTCCATCCATACGAAGAGACAACCAGAACATAATCTCAGTTTATTTCATAAAACCTATTCCTGAGCAGAAATATCTTATGCTGTTCTGAAGAATCTACATAAACATATAAATAGATATGCCTAAGGGACAGCCCTAAACCTTGTAAACCAATAAATGGCATTTTAAAATAAATGACTTAAGGCTACAAACAGCATCCATTTTGCTCTGTTTGGCAGCATGCAAGTTTACATGCTAGGAAACATTTCTCAACATGAATGAACTGTGAAATTGTTTCCTACTATCCCACGCTTCTCTAAATTGTGTGAGATTATGTTAGCCATTTCTGCACCTTGCCATAGAGGCTGTCAGTGCCCTGAGAGGCAATGCTTGGTATATACTGGAGGCAAGAACCCTAGCATCTGAGATGCTGCTTAAATATCAGCGTATTAGGAAAAAATAATGAAAAATATCACCCCATGCTTAATAATGCAAGGGAAAATGGCTTTGTTGTAAATCTAGACACACAAGAGAATATGATGAGGTGAACCATATATATTTCAATTCTTAAATTGTACGTCGCAGGAAAATGATTATCATTGTATTCCACCTTGATCCAATGTCAAGTACTTCCCTATGAGTGTAAGTGAATTATTTTACCACGAGGAAAACAATATATGAATATATACAGTGTTTTAGCTATTTTCATACTAGAGCCAACTCTTTAAAACCCAAATTTACCTGCTTTGTGGACTGCATACTGTCTTTAATTTTAATCCTACACTCACAGAACTAAGAAGGCAATTATGTTGCAGAAATAAGAATCTTTCCAGAATAAAAATGTGAATGAGTCTGCATATGATGGCTCATGTCTGTAATCCCAGCACTTTGGGAGGTCGAGGTGGGAAGATTGCTGGATCCCAGGAGTTCAAGGACAGCCTTGGTAACATAGAGAGTCCTTGCCTCTACAAAAATTTAAAAAATATTAGCTGGGAGTGGTGGCACATGCCTATGGTACCAGCTACTCGGGAGGTTGAGGTGGGAGGATCAATCACTTGACTTCAAGGTTGCGGTGAGCCTCTGGGATTGTGCCACTGCACTCTAGCCTGGGCGACAGAGTGAGACCCTGACTCAAACAAAACAAAGCAAAAACAAAAAACAAAACCCAAAACAGAAAAACCCTTGGGTTCTTAGGTCTCCGGAGTAGTTGCAGATATTTCACTGAAGCACATGTGGCTATTTCACTTCTCAGAGGCCACCATCATGCTCTTCTCCCTGTGGAAGTGCACACACACACTGTCCCATCTCTACCACGCTGGAATTACTCTGGTCACAACCACACTTCATTCAAGAAATCAAGAGCCCGCCTGATTTTCATGTGTTGTTCAGAGTCTCCACATGTGGAATTTTCCATTTAGGATTCATGTTACATGCTTGTTTAACCAAGAGGGCAGGTTTTAGAGACTTAACTTCTCATTTTTTGTATCTTTTTCATATAAATTATCAGTATCCTGTAACTTTAAAGCTTAATTTTAAAGTTCTATATTTTAGGGGCTAAAGCATGGAGTACTACTATTAGAAAATATAATAAATATGAGTCTTAAGAAGAATCAGAACTTTCAATTTTATGTTAAATTACATGTGTTACATGATTCAATTCATCTCATTTTTATATGATGATATATGCTGACCTCATAATTTTATCATCTTCTGTATTTATGGCCTAATAATGCCTTCTTGCCAATTCTCCAAGCTGCTGAATTTATGAGCCAGGAGCCAAGTCATGTAATCTGCAGGTTTTCTGAACAGATATATAATAATTTTTCGGAAACTGGTAGATAACCTGCTGGCAAATGGGGCTGATTTTTTTTTCTTTAGAATTTGGCTTTTTCCTTTCACTATGTAGAAATGTAAGTTAATTTTTCTTAAATAAATGAACATTTTATTGGTTGTATAAGATATACTGTCTGTTTAATTGGTGAATTATCTTATGTTCTATCTTTTTGATAGTCTATCCTTGGGGATTCATTTGTAAGGCAGGTATCTAAAATTGCATGCTACCACATTTAAATATTCATTCACTCATTTACCCATGCAATATTTGTGGAGTATGCTTTCTATGCAGGACAGTGAAATAAAAGTAGTGTGATCCTTCAAAGGTAGGACTGATTTTTCAAAGTGAAATCTATAATGAGTCACATAAAAGTCACAGAATCATAAAATTGGACAGAATGTATACAACTCAAATCTTTTACATATGAGGGTATTCATAGTATTAAATAATGTCTGAAGAGGTCAAGAGGCTCGCCTAACTTCTCATACTAGGTTAGTGGCAGAATCAGGATAAGAATTAGGTCCCTTTTCTCCTTTTATTGAAACAAAAGCCTCTGCTTTCTAACATATCTCACTATCATTTTCATTTTTTCAGACTACAAATTCAGAATTTGTTATAATTTGGACCAAAGTTGGATTTCCAGTTACCTTGAAAGCTTACACACATAGAAAAAAAGAATTTGTTAGGCAAATCTAGATGAGCTGTAAGATTATAAGTGACATGTTCACCTATCAAGAGACAACTGGTGCTATGAATGTTAAAATACCTTCTTATCTATATTGAAATTCCACCTCAATTTCAAACATATCTATTTATAATAGTGGCAGTTCCTCCGACTAGGTAACATAAAAGAATGACCAGATCAGGTGTATGGAACAGGAACACTTAGAAGAGTTTACTAATAAAGAACATTTACTCTACCCATATCATGCATATTCTGGACGCCAATAAAAGTCCTATAATTCATTTAGGTGGTCTCCTACGAGCTATGTTAGTTTTGACTTGGTTAAGTGTTCTTTGCTGATTGGATCAGAAGTGATTACGTGACCCAAGCTAGGCCAATCACATTCTCTCCCTTGGAAAGTAGAAACTGGGATTCAGACATAGCCTGCCAGTCTTTGAACTGTAATATGTAAATTTGAGAGCTGTCAAGCAGCCATATGTGGACAGGGAAGCACAGAAAGCTGTTGCTTAGAGAGAAAAATGGAGCAGACGGGAGGAAGCAAGCAGAGACGGAGTAAGGAGACTGCCCTCCCTGCTTTCTGCTTCCTAGTTTCAGACCCATCCTGAGGTCTGGCTTCTCCTGGGTTCTAGGATACAACCTGTATATTATTTAGCAAATCCCTCCTGCCCCTCTCACTTTCTCCCTCTCTTTGTCTGTCTGTCTTTTAATACTGGCCCTATTGTTTTTTATTATGTGTAACTGAAGAGTCTTAATTCAGTCACTATGTAACAGATAACACACCCTTGAGCAAGAGCTACAATGCTATCCTTGATTTTGGACCATTCCATGGGACTACCCACAGCACAGGTTAAATAGCTTGATAATGAGATGCATTTGGATAATGAGATGGATAATGAGATGTATTACAGTAACTAAGATCTGTGGATGGAGTTCACAATAGACCAATTTTTCAATGAATAGTGATAAGGTAATATTGATTTATATGGATAAACTAGCTTATATAACTATTTATCAGAAAGCCACATATACTACATGTATTTAAAAACTCAAATTCAGATTTGCTTATTCCTAATGAGCCTAAAATAATGAGGTTTTCCTATATTGACAAATGACTTATAGGCCATTGACATTTTAAAAATAATGAAATAATTTCGAGATTATGAACTTTTGAAATTATTAAAAAAGAGAATGGCCATGTGAACTCATATATGTGATCTTGATAAATCACCTGAAGGTACCAGATTATATAAAAAAGATTTATATCTAAAATGTATTAAATATTAAATACCTATTAAAATGAAATATTTATGCAAATAAAATACAATGAGCAAATTAACACTTAAAGAGAGCTCACTATGTGCTAGGAACTGTGTTAAGAATTTGTCATGTATTAGTGCATTTGAACCATCCCAGAACACTGTAAGGTAATTATTATGCCTGAATTACTTTGAGCTAAATGACTTGCTCAAAGTCCCATAGTTAGTAAAAGGTAGCTGTCTAAACCTATGTAGACTATTACTACTACTTCACAATCTGAATAAGAATGGATGAACTAAGACTCTGAAAGAAAGAAACTTTGGAAACTCTTTGGAAGTTTTGGAAAACAATTTCATGAAAATTTCATGAAAACAATTTCAAGAAAAATGCGCAATCTTCTAAATAACTTGTCTACAAAAAAATTTATACTATTAATGAGTCTTACCGGGGATTAGAAGGAGAAGGTGGATGCATTTCTTTCTGATAGTGACGACCCTGGTTAACAGGCTATAAAAGAAAAATCATTTGTGAGTTATTAATCAGCATAATGCTGTATACATATATTTTCACATTCAATTTCATTACTGTAATTTTTTCCTGAGACACAATCCATAAGAAGAGGATGACTTTATTCTACAGACAAGTCAAAGGCTCTTCAGGAGATCCAGCAAACAGCAGAGTGGTGTGAATGAGAAAACACAGGTTATTTTAATGACCAGTCACTGGACTTGATAGCATTTGTGATGCAATTAAAGTTCATGTGTTGAAATCCTCCTCCTTGTGGAATTTTTATGCTGTTAACATTGGTTGATATTTCCAGATATAGCAAAACAAAGCAAGACAGCTCATGGAAATAATGCTGCATTGCAAGCATTGGTAATAACCCAGAGATACAGAAAATATATTTATGTCTCAATGTTGGTACATTTGCAAGGATAATTTCTATTACCACTACTGAGAATTACACATGTAAATCTTAGGTCAAGGTGGTCATTTTCCTCAAGTGTATAATACAACCTCCAGCATTAATCAATGAACTAAAAAAAGTGATGCCAATACCTCACAAAAATGTGAAATCTAAAATTTTCTTACCACAAGAAACCTTTAAGTTACTATCTATATCAAAACATAGCTAAATAACTATACCCCATGTAGCCTTAAACACTTGCCTTCAATAGAACTTGATCTTTTTCCTTTATTGCATAAAAGGAGATGATTCCATTCTGTTTCTGAACATTAGTGCTAAGTATTTATGTGGTTAACAACAGTGCAATTCCAATATGAAATCATTGTTAACATTCTCATTTTATTACAAGTTAGAGTTTGGTATACATTTTAAAATTGCACTTAAAGGGCTTTAGCTACTTCTTTACCCAATGGGGCTGGTGTTAAGGCTTTCTCAACCATAATAATGTGGCCCCATAGTGCTGAGGAAAACAGTGGTGCTGCTATATAGAGAGTCCATATGCCTTATTTTCTACATATTCGTTATTTTAATGGGTCCTAAAATATTAATGACATAGGTGATAGGAATTCTTCAGAGTAAACTGTCTTCCTCTATAAATAATCTTTTGGAAGTGCTCCTTTAACTTAAATCAAACACCCCATCTGATAATCACAGTCACTTAGCTTGACTACCTGTGATGCACCATGAATTTAAATGTACTCAGATACTTTGGTAATTGAACCAATATCAATGCATCACCATTTCAGTAATAAGAAACAACAGCTGGGAGAACAGTGGAAGGAAAAACATGTCATAAGACATATTTGATCTCACTAGAGAAATAAGACTTTCAGCAATTTGCAAGTGAAATTTGGTTCTATGATTTAGGCTTTATTATTTAGCAGCAAAAAAGAAATTAGCAAGCACAGGGCCTAACGGATTCTCTGGACCAACTCACACTGGTATAGAAATACTCCTGATAATAAATTCATTGGTATTCGTTGAGTATTTCAGCTGTATTTAGGCCTCCAGTGAATGGACCTCTGCCTATTTATTTTCAGAGGTATTTCCATAAATCTACATGCATAACCCATAACTCTATAAGCATAACAGTCCTGATATTCAGTCAAATTTCCATTCTTTAATTTTATACTATTGATTCTATTACCATCATTCCCAAGCCCCTATTCCAAATGTCTTACTCTATCCCTTGTGAAATGGAAATGGTTACAGAATCCTATCTTGTTTGTGACTCAGCTCTCACTTTAGATTATAGAGACTGGTCCCTTTCCATCTTTGCTCACGTTGATATAAAACAGCTTCAGTGATACAAAGAGTAAAAAACACAATCAATAAAGGAATCACATTCATAGTGATTTTTCAGTGTTAGAAATAAAAAAATAAACAATGGAAACTTTCCAAAGGAGGAAGAACTATCAACATGAATAGATGCAAAGGTGAACAACTGGTTGTCTGAAGCCAGATGTCCCATCCACAAATGATACCCATTGATGGAGTTCAGGACATACTACTCCAAAATATGACATCTGAGTATGTGAGAAAACGGCAGCAGCAGGAAGGTCATTCTCACATCCCTCGTTCTTCTCCCCTGAAACTGGTTATAGAATCTATTTGGAAAGATTTTTCTGACCTTCTCCTGGAGCAGGTCATAAGACCCTCATTTGAAAGGTGCCCTCCCTATACCTGGAGGGAAGTTTCCCCCAGTTTATTACCATTAGATCATATTCCCTTTGTCCAATCCTACTTCTCCATGACTTCCCACTCTTCATCAAACCTAGCATAAAAATATACAGGTTGAACTATTTCTCTGGTTTCTTCATTTCCTTATGTGTCACATAAAACTTACATCAAATAAATTTGTATGTTTTTCACTTGTTATTCTGTCCTTTGTTATAGGGGTCTTGGCTATGAACCTAGGATGGGTGAGGAAAGTATATTTTTCCTTCCCTACAATATGTTTCATACATATGTAGCAGTAAACCCATTTCTAGGTAAGTAACACTGTGTAAAAGTACCAGTGAAAGCAGTATAATTTATCATTTGATTTTGGAACTCAGTCATATCTAGATAATACTGCAAGTAGAGGCAAAAGGATGGCAACCAATCTCTACAAATAACTATGTCCATCATCATATCTGTGGTGACTGATATTTATTGAGCACTCGCTCCCTACTAATTCTTGATAGATATGATCTCATTTGATCCTCATAGCAATTCTATGAGATAGGATGAACAAATCCGTATAACAGAAGAGGAAATTCAGACACTGGTTGTTAATCCAGGATCTTGCCCGCCAGGAAATAGTGGAGCCAGGATTTGAATGCAGGCCTTCTGATTCCACAGCTTATCCTCTTAAACACTAGCCTGAAGTGTTTAATCCAGCTTGGGAGTACATCTATAGTATTGAATATCTAAGTTTTTGAATAACAATATGGCAAAATCAGTTCTGTTTGTGGAGGAAAAAAGTGGTCTTGAAATACACTTATTTGAAATATATATGACTATCTTCTTACCATAAAGTAAATCCATCTGATTTCATTCTCATGACATGTCACTATACATTTAAAATTGATGAAAATAAGTTTTGCCACATTACTACACTTAGAAGAAGCATAAGATATAATAGAAAGTACTCTGAGAATAAAAAAAGCATATGTCATGGGGTGACTTTCATAGTCACTAAACACAGAATAACTTGCACATTTCAATATTTTCTCCTGACAGCACAGATATTATACTGACTTTAATATCAGTTTTAGTATATCATTTCTATAGTTGTATAAGAACATCTGCTCATCTGATTTATCTGCAGCTTAGCATAATCAACTACTTACCTTTTTAATTCAGGAGGATTAAGAGAAAACTCATTACGCCAAAAAAAAGCTGAGAAGTTAATGAATCTGTAGATCAGAACAATTAAAACCTATTAACTATGAAGAGCCTGAAATGCCAATATATTATTTTTTTTGAATACCCAGCAGCCAGGAATATCAAGCAAAATGCTGATATCCTATTGAGCAAAGAAAAGAACAGATCCTGGAAACTCAGGACCTTGTCCTTTTGGTGGCGCTGTTGCTATGCACTAGTGCCAGGAAACCAGCACTCATGAAATTAACTACCACTGAGCACAAGAGAAGCTTTTCCACGATCAAGCTACTAGAAATTTCAGGGTGAGGGAGAGAAATGAAAGCTAAATAAAAGAAGAGGAGATAAGATAATCCTGTCATGGTAAAAGGTAAAGACAATATTTTTATCTTGCTATGTAAAACCTATGAAAATGGCAATAATGTTGTTGCAAGGTTAATCAAGACCATAAATAACTTGTCTGAAAAACCTCACCATATGCTTGTAATTTTATTAAGTGTATTTTCCCTCATTATTCTCCAAATATTATGCTCTGTAACATGCCATGTTGATGGATGTATGCAATGAGCTTTTCTCCCCCCCCCTCCACAAGCTGAGGAGACTTATGTGCTTCATACTTGGTTATGATAATTCTTTCTTTCTTTTCTTTTCTTTTTTTAAAGAGATGGGGTCTCACTATGTCATCCAGGCTGGCCTTGAACTCCTGGGCTAAAATCCTCCCACCTTAGTCTCCCAAGTAGCTTGGACTACAGGCGTGTGCCACCACACCCTGCTCAGGTTATGGGGATTCTTAACTTGAAAAGAATGACAGCTTTGGGGTATCTGATCACAGGGTGGCTGCACATTAGCATGCTTTTCTTGAATCTAGGTTTGAGGAGGGAGAGAAATAATGAAATAGTGAGAGTTTATTTGTAAGGCTCTGAGAGGGTCAGTCTGAATGCCAATGGTTGAACTCACATCAAAACAGGCACAACAGAATCTCTGCCCACTCTTACAGGCCTCAGTAGGCATAAAAGAGGAAAACGTCCAGAAATCTTTTCTGATCATTCCAGTGGCCCTTTGAGGAGAGCAACCTCAGGGGAACAGTGGTTTACAGTCAGTGTGAGCCTACTCTGCTAAGCACTGGGCACATGAATTCTATCTACTCATTCACTTGAGGAAGACCCTGTTCCTATTCCCATTTTATAGATGACTGTGTCAGTAAATGGCAGAGCTGGGATTTGAGCTCAAGTTTGCTGATCTAGAGTTAATATTCATTTGGTCATCACAAAAAGTAGTGTTACTGATAGTTATTTCTTTTCCTTAAAAGAAAATCACACACACACACATACACACACACACACACACACACACACACACACACACACACACACACACACACACGGCGTAGTTTTATGCTATTGTCAATCAAAATCCCTCACCAAGATAAAATTCACTTAAAAATCCATTATTACTAACTCCTAGCTCCCTTCCTAAGGCTGCCTAGAGCCCAGTTTTTGAATAAATCTCATGAGGGCTACACCTAACAGAAACTCTCCAAAATTGATTACTTGTAGCCTGGTTTCCACAGAAGTTGTAAAGTATTGTTTTAATTGAATTTGGTTCTAAGTTAGAAACTTTGAAAAATTTGTCTGTCAAAGGCCAATAGATTTCTCAGTAGGCTTGATTTATTTAG